TCTGATGCAAACAGTTGTAGGTGTAGCCTAATGGACACATTCGGCCTCCACTACTAATGCCTGTAGGTGCAGCGTAATGGACAGACTCTCCTGATAAGGTCTGTAGGTGCTAGATGCTAACATGCTAAACCTTCCCTTAGTGATGTGGCACCATCGGGGGAATCCACTGGACAGCAGCAGTGGATGTCAGAGCTCAGTGCTGTTTTTCTGCAAACGAAACACCTGCTTAATAACCGTTTATTTTGCCGCCAATAGCTTTTTGTTGTTGTTTTCAGTTTTTTTTTTTTGTTTTTCGAGTTACAAATTATTAGTTTCTGTCAGCCGCTTTCTGCCATTTAGAGATATAGTAAATCACATTATTTTTTCCGACACGGATTACACGGCGCCGTATGTGTTGGGGGGAGGTGGGGGAACAAAAAAAGATCAAAGTAGTTTGACAGTCACCTCTGAGCGCCAGAACAAGGGCTTCGCTCATTTGTAGAAAATCAGATTTGCACAGTCTGGCCTCGCGGACGGATGCGCCGATCTCTTCCCGGCTTCTCCTCCAAGATGAAAGTTGTCTCTTTTTTTTTTTTTTTAAGTCAGGTTTATTTCTTTAATGAAAACTGCAGAAAGTGGCAGCATGAGCCTGCTTGTCTGCCGTATTTGCAGAGTTTCTCTTGCCTGTCTTCTCCATCTTCGCCACTCCGGCATTTAATGAATAACAAACGCGAATGCAGGATAAAGCTTGCGCCAACACATCCTGTCTCATTTTTGTCGTTTTCCATTCCTCCTTTTCTCTTTCTCTTCCACCCTATTATGACTGAATGGCGTTCTTGGCAAGGAGCTGGCTGTTCCCGAATTAAGCTGTACCTTTTCTTTGCCCTTGTGCCCACGGCCCTTTTCCCATTCCAGCAGGATTATTCCAGCCCTGTGCTGGAAACAGCCTCAGATGAGCCCCAACACAAACGTTTCTCTACATGTTGTGCAGCTGCCGGTATGGTCTGTCCTGGTGCAGCGTCTTGTCATCTTCCCGCGTCTCTCCCCGAAACGATCTGCGCACTGCCTTCCAGATGTGTATTGTACTGCTTTTTTTATTCCAGATGTCAGCTTTGGTCTTTTAGTTCTTTATACCACATTTGAGGCCTTCTCTCCTTTTGGGGAAGAGCTCTGGATTAAAGTAAAGATGTTCACTTTGTTCAGCAGCCAGCTTCTCATTTTTATCAAGCCTGTCTTCATAGTCTGACTGAAGGCTGCCAGTCAGGGAGCCTGGAGGACGATGCTGTTGTACCCTAACATCAGTTGGCTAGAAACAGATTCAAAAGCACCGGCTAAGCAGCTCAACACAGAGTTGAGCTTGATCTTTTCAGAGATTTCCCAAGTAGCACTAGCAAAGCTTAACCCTCTATTTCCTTTCCGGGGGGGGCGAGGGCTGAGGGTGCGGGAGCATATCGCCCCCCCGCATCTTGTCTGTTAACCGTAGCCTGAGTCGTACACACATGCTGGCACTGTTGATAAGAGGAACGTAAACAGAGCAAACGCGCACTTTGGCGTTTGCGATTCGTTTTCTCGTGCAGCCAGGCTACAAGGAAACGACACATTTCCATTGTTAGATTTGTGTTTTTTGAGTTATTCAGATACATATACATTTTTTTTTGTACCCTGCAAAAATATTTTCCTTTTTCTTTACAGAAGTCTGTTCTTCTCTTCAAATAATTGGCAACAGTGGTATTTCCCCCCCCCCCCGCCTTTCTTTTAAATGATGAATGGTTGGCGGCATATGAAAAGCGAGTTGGGGGGGATGGGGGGGCTGAGCCTGGCGCACAGCCAGTCTTCCTGGTGACGGCGCAGGCGGGGTCAGAGGTCACGTGTGAGCTGTCCACATGGGCGTTTTCATCGCTGTCGGCAGTTTATTTTATTTATTGATTTTTTTTGTCCTTTCAGAACAACAGCAGGCTGAAGCAGATGGAGAAGGAGTTCAGCCTGAAGCTGTCTAAATCAGCCCAGGTATTATTTTATTATTATTATTTTTATTAATTTATGCCCCCCCCCCAAAGGATATTATCTGAAAGACCTGGAAAAACTTCAGAGGAAACCTCCCTTGCATTATGATTGTTATGTAGTAGGTCAAATTTTCCATATGTCTGGGATTTTACATGTTTCCAGCTTATGAATTGTGAAATTCTTGCTGAATTATTGCAATCTGGGTTTCTATCTCAACTGGGGCTTGAACCCGCAACCCGCACCAGTCGCACATCCGGCCAGTTACTTCTCACGCGTCTGCATATTTACACGTGTGACCCAGCTTGGCACAAACCTTCAGCTTTATAGCTGATCTCCATTATGACAGATAGT